ATAGCTCTACATGCGAGTTACCTTTTTATCAATTCAGATTTAAGCAAATGAGTAAAGATTTCAGATATAAGAATTAAAAGATAGGGTGACAGAGGTTTCAGATACAAGACTTAAAAGATAGGGTTACAGAGAGTCACACTGTCTTAATCCTCTTGTTGGCTTAAGGTAACCTGCACCCACATTAAAGGAAAAGGAAGAAGTGGATATACACTCCGTAATCCATCTCGCAAATAAGGCATTAAAACTTATTTTAAGCATTACTAATCTCATACTGTCTCATTCCACCCTATCAAAAGCCTTGCACGAAGTGATAGCAGAGGTAGACAGCCTTAGTGCACTTTCAATGATACAAAGCGGCCGTGAGGAGCATGGGACCCATAGTTCGCTGATAAGATCCATATGAGATTTGTTGGCGAAGCCATGGGAGGTGAAAATGATCCATGTATACCGAGAAGCAAATTTTTTGGCCGACTGTCTGGCAAGAGTGGCCACACGTGGCCCAACAGGTTTCCAGCTATTGGACGAGCCACCGGGGGAAGCTTAATAATTGGTACATCATGATATCCTCGGGGTCGCATACCCACGAAGTGTTCTAATATCTAGCATCTAGACCTTAGCCTCTCTTTATTGTACCAAAAAAAAGCCTTGCACATGTCGAATTTAATAGCCATATAACACGTTTTTTCAAAACTATGACAATTCAAAAAGTGAATGAATTCATTGAAAATATTTACATTATTAAGAATTTGTATGTTGAGAACAAAGGTTGATTAGGTTATCACTGATGCAATAAGGCGGGCATTGCTTCCGTCTATTTGCCAAATATTTTTAGATAAATCTGTAAGCTACACTTCACAGACATGAGATCTTTTTTTTTTTCACGAAACGATAGAGATATTATAAATAAAAAACGCACAAATGTGCAAAGTACACAATCCATAGCTGAATAAAACAACTGACTAAAAACTGGGAGGACAGGTCATAAGACCGCCTAGAACCCGACTAGCAACGCTAGAAAACAAACTCTAAACAACACAACTCAAAGACCTAACGAAAACGACCCCAACGGGGTGATGTGGAACGACCCCCAACAGAGTAATGTGGAACGACCCCCATCGGAGTTACACTCTGATTCAAGATCTAGTCATTAGACACTCTTGAATGGAATGGAAAGTAAAGGTCAATTTGATTGTGGGGCCGTATGCAATGACTGAATTTTTATTGTACTTGCATTTTGATTCCTGTTTTCCTGAATCTATGTCCGCAGGCTTACAGCGGCCAACGACCCAAACAAAAAACACAGACCTAAACAACATAAAACAACCAACACATAAACAAACTAAGACATACCTGCTCACGGAAACAAAACTACAAAAACAAATACAACTAAAAGTAGATAAGAGCCCTTCCGCAACAAATCCAGCGAACGAACAATTTACTAAAGGAAACATCGGTAACCCGAGAAACCGCCGAAACTGCCTGAAGGCCTATCTGAAGCAGAAACCCACACCACGAACCAACCTGAGAGCAGACCCTCCCCTTCGCAGTAAGCCAAAGCAACCCAAATCACAATCCACAACACCGCTGCCCCGAACCAACTAACGCCACTAACTGAAACGGTAGCACCAGTCTCCCTCGGACCCAACACCAGAGACACAGAGAAAGGGGATTGGAAGGTACTTCAGCCTGCGCAAAACACCAGCAGCAACTCGGCCATCCACGATAGAGAAGAAATCAATCCCAGAAGACAGCTCCCGAAACTGCCGGCAAAGGCCTAACGGAAACCACGACCAAAAACTTCAACCTACTCCAACACAGGACGACCCTCCCCGCGACCGGAGGGGCAGCACTTCTCCACCCCACCATGGCCACCGGCTCGAACACGACCCACACCACTGATCTAATCCGAATTCATTTATATATTTGAAAATGAACAAGCGAGTTATTGTTTCTTGCCACTCATCACCTGGGAAGATGTTTCATCCTCATCCGAGTCGGAAAAAATATCATTTAGGGACTGAACTAGCAGGACCTTCCAAAAGCTTGAGATATGATCTCCCACAAGACAATGGAGCAATACCAACATGAATAAGAATAGCACTGCATGCTGCTTAAATAGTAGTAGATGCTAATATTTTAACAGAATTTAAAGTTCTTACAACCCAAACTTTCATTATCATAAAATCCGAACAGTGCATATGTACATATGAAGGGTCGACAACTACTACTACTTCTCTAGTATCCTTCCAAACAAGAACCTACATTAGAAATATATGTATATAAGAAAAAGAAAAAAAAAAAAATCGCCAAGCAGCGTTCATCAAGAACCAAACAAAATGAAAGTCAGCATTACACAATCTTTAGTAATCCTGCAGTTCATCTGAAACAATATGAACCCTCGTCTTTACTGCATCATAAACAGTTTCTCCCACATTCACAAACAACAGTGCAACAACTGAGTTTTGCCAATAGTTCTCTAATAAGTGCACATCAATATATCAATTTAAATACAAAACCGACAAACGTAAAATTCTTCCAAGGCATTCTCCAAATAGTCTGGTTTCTTAGCTCATCTTTCTCTCAAAATCAGGAGCCCCTCATAAATTGGTTAGAATTTAGTCTGCTCGAGGGCTGCTTGCACTAGTTGCTGGTTTTTTCCCTTTGTACGTCTGTTATTTGACACAAATGTCACTGTTAGCAATAATAGCAAGACAATCAACTGAAAAGTGATCGGCTAAGCAGTACCATAATACATAGATACGGATAAGATACCATCAAGATGTAGTCTAATACTCTGATTACCAATTAAAATAAAAGGTACAAATGCCCCATCTGATGTTTGTTTCCATTGTACAATTTACCATTTGGTGCTTGTTTCCACACTAGTTTTTTCCTATTATTTCTTTCAGGATACAAAAAAATGTCTATGTAGTGTTCTAACACTAGACAAGAAACAAGAAACAATAAAGGATATACGGTAATGTGATCACCTGCTTCCCAGTGTTGAATGGTATGTATCTGTACTTGATCATATGCATTATTTGACGTTTCATTGTTAGAAGAAAAAGGACGAGCCAGTAGCACAATAATATAGGCCAAAAAACTGGGACATCGAACATGGAAAAGAAGGTCATCAGGAATGCTACACAGAAAGCCTTAGTGATGGCATACCTGCAACAACATTAATCAGAGACAATCATCCGCATTAAATCTTTGCCCAAAAAAGAGGAGTATTTCACAGTATTTTCTCAGAATAAATAAGATAAAAGACCTCACTGAAGTATCAGAGATTAAGCAAAACTTCATGGTTTAATTCATGAAATGCAGTACTTCGTCAAAAGTGAAACACTCTTTGCTTTTGCCATTTCCAATTTCAGAAACAAAATTTAAGAAGTTATGCAATCAGGTCCTCTGATAGGTTGCAAATGCACACATATAAAAGGAGGTGAGCACATGAACATAGTCTATAGGAATGAACAACCGGGAAAACGTCTGCATTTGATGCACCCAAAGTTGGAGCAAGGATGACTATGTGATCATGCCACCTAGCAACTGGAAGACTGCAAAGAAAGTGCCATACTAAAAACAAGGACCTAAGTACGTAGTCATGTTACCATTTCAAGGAACAAAAGAAAATGTTTTCTCGTTCAAGCTACTAATATGAAACTCCAACAATAAGATGTGCCAGCTCGCCAACTTCATTCGCAGAGTAAACCTAACCAAACATTATATCAAACAAATTACAGTCAATGCTGCAATGCTAACTCATTGAGAAAAACTTATGTTCCATCATTAATATGCTTTTTAAGAACCTGATAACAAGTTATACAATATATAAATAGTTACTTTCAGCACCTCATAAAAGCACTAAAGTGAAGTATGTCAGTATCTGAGTTGATTATTACATAATTATGTATTAGGCCAGACCTCCCTACTAACAGACCAGAAATCAAAGGTACCTAGAAAATCATTTGGATTTAATAAAGAATCCAGACCCAGAAATGACAGTATACCAATTTCCAGAAGGCAATGGATTTAAAAACCACGGAGAAAAAAAAAAAAAAAAAAAA